TTGGAAGTATATTGTAGGAGTGGTAATACAACTATATATTCAGTGGTATAACACTTTGAAGGTGGACTGAGAATAACAATGTATATTGGAAGCCCTAAGGAAACCACTGAAACTTCTTTTTGTAAAGAGCTGTAACTCATAAGCCAGTAGTGGAGATGAAATCAAGAAAATAAGTCCAGAAATAAATGAGAAAGGAGGAAAAAAAGAAGAAATGGAACAAGTAGAAAACTAGCAAAATGGGAGGTTTAAATTCACCCATGTCAATAATTGCTTTAAAATGTAAATGGTTTAAATACCCAATTACAAGACAACAACAAAAAAAGACAATCAGAATGAATAAAAAGGCAAGATCTAGGTACATACTATCAATAAGAAACCCATTTTAGAAATAAATCGGAAAGTTGAAAAGTAGGATTTTTTAATAAGTGCTTGCAAAAACTGGCATGCTTCAAGGTCTATAGTTCAGTAACAGAATCATGCCAATGTCCATTTCATGGTTTTGATTACTGTCTTATAGTTACGTGAAATGTTACTTTGGGGTGAAAGCTGGAGGGCACACAGGAACCCTCTACTTTTGTGTAACTTCTCCTGTCTTCTGGCAGCATGCATGAAAATAATAGGCTAAGTCACTCACTCGTCAAAAGGGTTAAGACCAAGCCCCAGACTCCACAGTTTTGCTGACAAGTCTGGGATGCTGACAGACTTGGCATTCCAGATTTGGAAGGACAAGGTCCTACAGGCCAGTTCAGGAATATGAGAAATTCAAGGATACAGCAGCAGATGCTCTTACCTACATGGTTAATATGGCATGAAAGTAATGAGGCCCTTGTGTTCTGTAGTGATGAACAGCTACAGGTGGGTTTGAGATAAGTCACCCAAATGGCACCCAAATTTGCTCACTCTTCCCGGCAGGAAGAGATAGGGATGTTATCACCATAGAGCAGCAAGCCCTGTGGCCCCAGCCAGAGGCAATAAGGCTGCATCTGCTGACAGAGTCCTCAACTGAGATTAAAGTCCGCAATGAGGAATCTGCTATTCAATACAGAGGACCTGAAAACAGACGGCCGTTCGGTTGAACTGAGTGTAGGTGGCCCCTCGAAAGTGAGGAAGAAGCCTTGCCTATCAGTGCAAAGTCTTGCCACAGCCAAACGTGGCTGGCAGTGAAGTTGGGGCTCTGGGTGCCAGGATGGCCAAAGCTAGAAGACTGGGCTGGACAGCACAATGGCATGTGCTCGAGCACCAAGTAAAGGGCCCTAGGGGCTGGGCATGCATTGGATGCTGGAAGCACACGGGGGAGGAAGCAGCATCCTGCTCAGACATTAACTCTGGAGTCAGGTCAATGGAGAAAATCAGGCTTCCCTCCCACCATTTCCTCCCCCTGTCTCTGTGGACTTGCCTCCCAGCTGGAGGCAACTTGGTCTCCTGGCTGCTGTGCTATAGCCCATAATGCACGTGTTAAACTTCTTGGTTCTGTGATCCTATAGGGGAAAAAGACACTTGAATTGAACTGATAGTATGGACAGGGCTTGTGATGGGAAGGAAGGTGTGAAAAATTGTTAGCGGCTCATATGAGCCAGGGAGAGCTGGTGGCTAACTAAGCAGGTGAATACAAGAAGCCAAGACTAAACTCACATTCAAACCACAGGGAGCTTCTGCTCCATTTTCATCCTGGGACAGCACACCAGTCAGGGGTCAGCAGGGTCTGCACAGACATGGTAGTGGTTTCATTGCTAAAGGAAGTCCAGACAGGCTCCTGCAAGCTTGCAGACCTGGAGGGTGGGGTGGAAGAGGAGGAGGACCTAGGAGTGGGTAAAGTACTGAGTGGGAATATAGAAATGTGGTTTCCAAGTTTTCCCCCTTCCCCGCTCCTATTAGCAGGTGTCAGCAGAGGCACCTGAGGAAGGCTTATCCCAAAGCTGCTGACAGGCACTGGGCCAGGGCTGTCGCTGTGCACAGGAGCCTGCATTTTTTACTGTAAGTCCCACTAGAGACTGCAGTGCAGCAAGTCTTGTCCAGCGAGGCCAACTTTGTTCCATGAACCTGCCAGGTAAAGCCTTTGTAATGACCTAGGTTCAGGCCTGAAAAAAAAGAAAAAAGAAAAATCGCAGTTGTTTTTCCTAAGGAGTCAGACACCTCAAAAATAACCTCTCACTGAGGCCCTTTGGGCCAATTCAGTACATGTATCATGGATCTGATGTATTATTCACCTGCACATTTCCTTCCACTTAAGGGTCATGGTCAAGGGCTGTTCCTTCCTGGGTGGTCCAGCAGAAATAATACTGAACTCCAGGAGAGAGAACCCACAGCTTCAAAGACTTACTGGCTGCCTAAATTCTCACAGGCATAGCCAAGTACTACAACAGAATCAAATGCCAGACAATCACCAAAGACACCTTTGTACAAAAGAAGGAAGTTATTAATCTGCTACTAAGCTTTTGAGACTGAATGCCTCGTTGGGTTTGATGTTCTCATTTGGAGGTGAGTCAGTTTGGACTTGATGACTACCAAAGTGAAAAGGACGCAATAAGCCTTCCAAGTCAAAACAAATAGCATATTCAAGGGTGTAGCTGGCCTGGCCCTGGCAGCTTTTTGGTGCTATGAGAAAAGGGCAGCTATTCCTTTGGAGGTAAACTTAATGCCCCACTCTGCCACCTAAAGCAAAGTCGTTGGTTCAATGGGACTCTTGATTCACAGACATTAGCTGAACTCCTGGGCCTAGATCCCCGGTTGCCTATATCGAAACCTAGCAGGGTCCAATGCGCTATAGCCACTCAGGCCTCAGTGGCAGCCAGGTAAATCCAGAAGCAGGTCCTTCCTATCAGTAGCTAGAACTCAAAGCAGTGCTCTGAGACTGGCCAGCCCTCCCACTGATGGAGCTCGACACAGTTTTATGAACTTTTGGATGGTTGCCAATGACCTGTCTGGTATACCAGCTGAAAACCTAGACTGGCAGATTAAAGATACCTCTCTTTGGGCATTACTCTTAAATAAATTGTTCAACTTCTGTAATAGTTAAAGAAATGAATATTAAAATTAGATACTTTTTCCTGTCATACTGCCAAAAATGACAAGTTTAGCAAAACCTAGTACTGGCCAGAGAATGGATGCAAAGTTATTCCAAAACACTATCAGTGGCATGGAAAATGTTCATCATTTTGAAAGGCAAGTTGACTGAAAATGCACATGATTTTGGCTGGCTGCATGATTCTGCTTCTGTGTATCCAAGAGAAATAATCCAACTCTATAAGAGGCAGGTACTAGCAAGTTTCTACAAGTGAGAGTAACCCTCCATTAAGTTTTGTCTGTGCCTTCTCTCCCGTTACCTACCATCTTAATTTCTTTACAATTCCCAGCAAACTTTGATATTCAAGAATCGATACATACATACCTGTCATCTTTGAATCCCCCCAGGATTCCACTGAAACGTTTGTTTTTTTTTTTTTCACCATAACATTAAAACTAATGTCCTGGGACTTATCTTCATCTTTTTCTATCACTATACAGCAGTCAACACAGAGTGAAATTACATTGTCTATCTACCAGGTGCTTTCACATAGGATACTGCACACAGTAGCACATGACTGCCTTAAACCCTCTGAAGTAAGTGGTATCAGTCCTCTTACAGATGAGGCAACACACTCAGAGCATCTTGCCTGAGATGGCAAACAACAGTTCAGGGGAACAAACCCAGAGTAAGCGCCAAGTCCATCGGTTCTGCTACTAATGGCTGGTCCTGGAACTCTCTGGTACTGGTGATGTCCTTTAGAGTTACATTCTGTTATTTAACAAAACCAAAGACCAAGATTAAATAGTATTAAGGCCTAAGATACTCAAAGACCAAGTACTCTTATTATTGACTTTCTAGAAGCATATAAGAATAAGCTCATCTAAGGATAAGGATTCAAATTCCCACGTCTACAGTTACTACTGACTTAGATGGAAACAACCAAGCAAATACTGTTTCGTAGCAATTGGCAGACTTTAATATTCAAGAAAAATTAAGTCCATCATACACGTTAAAAATATAGGAAATTTCATGCAGACATGAAGCTTCCAATTCAGCCTTTGTGGCAACTTTTAGAATGAGAATTACATATAAATACAGTACATTTTACAGTTCCCAAACTTCATAATTTTATACTGTGATTTATACAGCTTCTCTTTATATTTTACATTTCCCATCTTGCTCACTTGATTAAAATACCCTAACCTGCACCGCTTCAGAATATGGAAAAAGGTGGGGGAAGCAAGCACAATGACCTATCTCCTCCTGCTTTATAAAAATGAAAACATTTGTATATCGAGCTAATATAAGGAATTAGAACAAAAAATTTTAAGGCTTACATACTTTAGTAGCTAGGACTACACATAAGAAATAGAAAATTAAATCCTCCAGTGACACTTCTATTATTGACTGATACCACAATTTTCAAGTTTCGAATATATTAACTACAAAAGCAATGAGAAAAAAAGTGATGCAGATTTATGTAGAATATTTGAAAAACAGTAGTCATGATAGGAGAAGTTAAAAACAAATGAAATAACTGATTTCAGAATTAACAAAAAGCTAAGCTGTAATTTAGAAATATAAGTAATATTATTAAAGAATAAAACCTGATAGCCAAAATTTTAAGTAGTAAAGCCGAGTCCTTGCTACCAATATATTTTTGCCTCTATGAGAAAAAACAAGATCGTTTGTTCTGATACAAGTAAAATAGTGAATACCAGTCAGTGAATAAAAAGCCTTTCGACATTACTCAAAAACAGCCTGCATTCCTTTCCTTTCAGTGGATTTTTTTAAATACTTAGGATCCTTTTAAACTTTTTTTTTTCCTGAAACAAAAACAAATTTGGATTTTTCCCCCTACCAATTAATTGAAAATTCATTCACATGGTAGTTAATGAAAATTCTAATAACTGAACATCTGCCAAGTATTGGGGGTAGAGGGAGACACAAAAAAGAGAAACAGTTTTTGGTTCTGTTTTTTTTTTTTTTTTTAAACTCAAGAGGCTAAGGCCTCCAGAATTTAGCAAGTCAAATAAACTTCACAGAGCCCTTTACTGCGTAACATGAGCAAAGGCCACAAGAGCTCCCTCACTGTCCATGGAAAAGCTCCTACTAATAAGATACCAAATTGCGTGGACTCCCCCAACCTAACAAAAAAGGCCTAAAGATTCACGAGTAAGTTTTCCTATTAGAACATGACATTAATCCTACAGCACATTATTGAGATTAAGTCTATCTAATTCAAATTGCCACAGAGGTCATTTAATGCCATCATAATCACCTATGAAAATATCCAACAAGAGTACTTCCTTTTCCCAAGAAAAGGTTACAACATCAGTCATCTCTGCTTTCCAAGCTACTAGAAACAAAATAAGAAACATAAAAAATATATATAAAGGAAAACTCCCTCCAATAGAAAAGATCTGCTAGAGGTAGAAATTTAAAGCAGCATATACTGTTTTAACTCCAGCTATCAGGGAACAAAATTGGTGTTAATCTAAAATTACATGAATGGCTGCTGCTTACAATATTGAAGACACAGACTATGGGCAGTAAGTTATCCCTGAATTTCATATTCAGAATTTCCCCACAGTAATACCATCATGACAGTTTATTGGAAAAAAAAAAAAAAGTGCTTGCTTTTGTGATCCAGGTAATTTAAAGAAATGACATTATCGTAAACATTCACTGACAAACTGTATTCACTTCTAGTTTAAAATCATACATTTCAAATGGGAGATTTTGTTATTTCCCCATTTTCTGAGCAGTACCTTGAATAAAGGTTTTTGTGCCTCACTTAAGAGTGTTCAGATCTCATACATTTCAGAGTGATTCATGATGAGTATGCTTTCAAATAATGTTCAGGTTAGTATGCCCCAAAGACTCTCAGTTACTTGAATGCTTAAATGCATTTTACTGGCCTGTGATCTTATTAAATTCAGCATTTCATAAAAATGAAATGGTTGATGCTTCTCTAAATTCAGCTGAGCTAGAAAAAAAATAATTTGAGTGATTAAAAGGACACACACACATTTTATGAATGGATTGCTTAGGTCCAAAGCAAATGAAGTCCCAATTCCAGATGCTGAATGTGACAGAGGATCCTCAGACTCTTCTAAAAATAATATGTGCAATGCACACAAAACAAAGATTTGGGGGGACTTCGATACTAGTAGTCATTAATATGGCAGACTTGCAACAGACAGCTTCATGAAGACCACTGGAGATAAAGTTTTCTCTACTGAAAGACAATTCTGGGCTTCAGGGAAAATGTATACTTGAAGACATTTCCTCCATTTTTACTTCTGTAGTACAAATATGCATGGCATAGTATATTTCTGAAAAAGCGATAGACGTATTAAGAAAATAGACGCTATTTCTAAATTTTGTTAGGAATAAGAAGGCACCACTGATTTGAGGTTGTGTCCTGTCATTGGGATAGTTGATTTTGAGTTGTTTATTTCAGGATTTGCTCTTATCAAACTCTTTTCCTGCTGATACCACTTGAAAACGTTACTGTGGTTTACGGACCACAAACAAGACACATTCATAGTAGTATTTCATCATGGAGAGATCATTCACAGTATATGTTGACAAGACAGATTCTTTTTCCACCTGGAATGCAAACAATAATCGTAATGATGATGATGACCATGAGTATAATACAACCAGTACTTGTGACAGGTACCACTGAAAACGTACTCTATTGACTTCTTACATACACATACCCCCTTAAGATTGGCATTATTAGTAATCGCACTTTACAAAGAACAGATTGCTCATGGTCACACCAGTAATAAGAGCTGGAACTCTCCATGACTCTGTTACATTGCTTCTCTTCATTTTTTTTTTTTTATATTTTTTTTATAATTTTATTTTTTATAAACATATATATATATATATATTTTTCCCCCCAGGGGTACAGGTCTGTGAATCTCCACGTTTACAAACGCTTCTCTTCATTTTTAAGAACAAATCTGTTGTTTATTTTTTTAATGAATGAAATGCTTTTAAATAAACATACAACTAAAACACAAGTCAAAGTGCCATAAAACCTTATAATCACATGATTAAAAAAGACTGAACACTACAGAAGCACACACAATGAATGCTGTCACTGCCCTCCCTGCTCCATCTGCTCCTCCAGACGCTCGTGGGTTTGGTATCTGCCCGTCTACCAGGGCCGACACTGTTGAGAACGGGAAGCTGCCATGTACTGAGAGCTGACTGATGACATCAGGGATTACAGTTTCCCATTTACCTACACACTATGCCAAAGCCTCATAATTCTAAAAGCCAACTATTATTTTCACTTTGTGGATGAGAGAACAATTAAGAAGTCAAGTCAGGAACTGTCACGATATTCCCATTCCTAAGAGCGCTAGAAGTGAAACATCCCATCCTTACCTCCACCTGGAATCCATACTGCAGAACGACGTTTTTTATATCTTCATAGCTCAATTCTATGGAAAGTTCATTTGCCAAATTTTCAAAGTGGTACAGTAGGGGACCTATGGTTTAAAGATATTATGAATGAATTACTTAAATATAAACATGCACTAGTTGCTGTGGTAGAACTCCAAATTGAATTATAAGATGGGTAGTAGGTGAAACAAACAAAAAGGAGAACAGAACCTTTACATCTGCCAAGGGCATGTGTCCAAACCCCTTTAACTTTGGCCCATTTGAGTGCTGGGCCTACACTGGTGGGGAGGGAGTCCCTGTGGCATACCAGGGCTGCACTGTGATCCTCCACATATGAGCCTTACACCTGTAACTCTGGGGTTACTGAGGGAGTACTTGATCAGAGAATGCGAAGTCCCTAAATTCTGAAAGTATACTGTAATTGTAATTCCTTAAGTAAATGCACAACTGCAGCTGCAGACTGTGTATCAGGTGTAAACAGAAGGGTCCTCAAGCTAGCCTAGGTCTAAGAGAGTGCGTGCACATGGCGGGAAGTTATAGGCAAGGTTTCCTGGAAGGAAGACGTGACACCAGATCTGGCTCTTTAAGTGCACGACTCACATCCCAGCTCTAACACTCACTGATCGTGGGCCTGTGGACCCGTCCCCAGCTCTGCAACACCCAGTACACTTGGCACAGAGAAGGCGTTCAGTCAGCGACAGCAACCACAGCTTTTTAAAATGACATTCCTCCTTTACTATTCTCTCATTCCATGTATCCAAGAACTATCATCCGACTCCAACCAGAGTCTCCAGGCTTTCAATCTCTCACGTTCTGCCCAGTCCGTCATCAGCCTCGTCTAGGCCACACTATCATTCAATAGTTACTTTAGTACTAACCTAAACAATCTTCTCTTTTCCTTTCATTGGCTTAACTGTAAGTCCAGTGCCCATCTCACGTCCCCTTCCCCTCATACAATGTGCTAATCACAGGAATTAAGAGTAACAACAGGACAGTTTCTCCTCCTAAAAGGCTCATCACTCTGTGGAACATACTTACTAAGCGTTAAAACGTTTTTCTTCCTCTCCTCTTTTCTTACCCTACATAAACCGCTAGGACAAATGACTATAAATATATATGTTAGTACTCTTTTCAGAAGAAAACAATGGTTCACCATCAAACTATTCTGTCAAGCTTAACTTCCTGTTAGTTTTATTAGGACTAGCAAAAATGACAGCAGCTACCATTTACTGAGCACTGCTGTGTCCTAGACCATCCCGAAGCCTTTGAAGCCCTCAGAGCAGTCCATCCAGCTCTAAAGTGTGTGATGTTCCTGCTGCTCCATTATTTTAAGAGCCTCCAGCATTACTGTCTTCTTAGATCTAAACACCCCAGGAATTTTTACATACTCAGGTCATATTATACCTCTCTTCACGTTGTGTTCCACCTAGAGAGCTCCAACTCCCCAATGCAAGCTTTAGCCATGCTCCCAAACCTTACTGAAAGCAAGTTTTAATATAATCCATCTAAGTTTCCAGCCCTACTGCTCACTCTCTTAATATAGCCTACTTTAAAATTCATGTAATGTAGTATGGCTTTGCTCACTGATTATTTTTCATGTAATCCACACTTTTTAACCAGATTACAAGCTACATGAGTAAAGGCACACGTCTTCAGTTTCTTGTGAGTTCACCACAATGCCCAGCAGAGCAGTGAATGTACAGTTACACAGCTCTAATTTTACCACCCAAAGAGAACCATTACAGTTGAGTATTTTTTACAATCTATTACAGATGGTACTTCGACAAACATCTTTGTGCGTATTTCAGCCTTCTACAAGTACAATCAACCTAATGTTTCTATGTACTATTCTCTATTAAAAAGAACCGGGGATCCTTTGTCGGGGGGTAGGGTGGCTACTCTCAGGGCCTGGCAGAGAGAATACAAAAAGAGCCTGGAACAGTGGTGATGTCAGAAAGGAGGCGATGTCAAATGGACACAGGGGAAGGGGGCCCTACATGCCAAATCTGGGACAAGTTAACTTAAACCATTTATATCCTTAAGGTTCTAAAAATTCCGGTTAAGAGACAGAGACTGTTAGATTGGAAAACAAAATATAACTATGCTGTTCCTAAGATATATCTAAAACAAAGAGAAAGGGTTTAAAATACAGAAAAATATACAGTACACATTAACTAGAAGAAAGCTTGTAGTAGCTATCTTGAAATGCCCACTTAAAGAAACATGGCTTGCAATTGTTCAAAACAAAAGAGTGGGCACTCACACCTCAGCAAAAAATTGTACAGGCTGGGCAAGGAGCTACTGTGGGGGGCAGGTCGGGGCGGGGGGGTGGGGGTGGGGGGTGGTTACTGCCTGCTCATTTTCCAAAGCTGACTTAACCAATATCCTTCTTTTATGTCCCACATCTCATCCTCACTCTCTACTAGCTCATGCCTTCATATATTTTCTTTCCCATTCACTTTTTCCAGTAAATTAAACTTCTGGTCTTTGTCTGAGCATGGACTGGAACTTGGTTCCCTAGTTATAGGGGTCCACAGGCCTCCATACGTAGATCTTCAACTTCTCTTTTTCCCCATATAGTCACTCATATTCCAGGATTATTCCAGATCCTCCATATAGCCAGTCATTTTCCAGGGTTACTGCAGGTCAACTGGTTGTTCACACTGGGTGTTTTGCAAAACTTATCCAGCTACCCCATCTGAAAAAGGGTTACATTTTGTTGTCTCCTGATGACCTCCTTGCCATTCTCTGTCATTGTTTTAGACCCTTTTTCTATTTTTACAACCACTGCAACAAGGTCTCAGTGTGTAAAGGAGATAATGTGTCAGCTATCTACGTTTTACAGGAAACCTCTCATGTTTCAAAAAACATTCAGCTTTATGATGCTTTAAAATTTGATAAGACTCCTTACACTTTATAAAGATCTGCTTTGGTACTTGCAAGATGATAGAAAATACACACACTGGTTTCTGGCAAAAAGCTCCCGAAACCCTCATAATTTCCTAAGTGATAAGAACACTAGGAGCATCTTTTGTTCAAATATTAGGCCTGTGACTCTGGTCCCTGACACAGGGCTCCTGAAACTCATAATTCGTGGGTGACAGAAGCATCTCTGGTTCTAATGAGACAACACTCAGTGAGGGCTGGTCACCAAAAACACCAACCCATGATCAGAAGGTTGGAGTTTCAGCCCTGCCCCACTAATGTCTTGAGAAGGGAGAAGGGCTTAAAAATGGAATGGCTGATCAAGCCTCCATTAAATCCCAAGAGCACAGAGTCCAGAGAGCTACTGGGATGAACATGTGCAGGTGCTGGGAGAGTGGCAACCCCGGGACAGAGCATGGAAGCTCCACACCCCTTCCCAGATACTCTGCCCTATGCTCCTCTTCCATCTGGATGTTCCTCTGGATCCTTCACATCCTTTAAGAAAATGGTCAACCTACGTGTTTCGCTAAATTCCATGAGCCACTCTAGCAATCACACCCAAAAGAGGGGCTCGCTGGAACCTCCAATCTGCAGCCTACAGATCTACAGTTGGTTGGAAGCACAAGTGACAGCTTTGGACTAGCGGCTGAAGTTGTGGGAAATAGGGGAGAGGGTCCTGTGAGACTGACCCCTTCCCCTGTGGTATCTCACACTATCTCCAGGTAGACTGTTATCAGGAGTTAAAGTGGGGGGCACCCAGCTGGTGTCACAGACAACTCTTGTGGCGGGAAAACTTACATTTGGTAACCAGATGTGTCAGAGTATGAGTGTTTTACTATATGAGGAATAAAGGAGACACACGAGGAAGAAATACACAGTAGGGAAGAACTGTGTTTTTTCCCCTTCATAGGAAGGAAAAGACTGCGAGTCTTTCTTTTTAGTACTTTAACGTGTTTATTCTTCCAGACGAAATTAGATTTCATCTGCTAATTGCCTGCCCTCCACTGCTGGACTACAAATACACCAGCTCACACATATGCACACCCACACGCAGTTTTCACCATAAATTATACAGACGTCTTCAAGGGTCACCATGAAAAGCTGAGGAACAGGATGCACAGGCACTCTTCTACATTTTGCTAATAACAGACTTTTCCAAAGGACACATGCAAACAGTTTCCTTAAAAAGCTCACTCTCACTAGCTTTCCTTAACCTGAGGAATATTAGAGTACTTCAGATCCCCTTAAAGAGACTTTAAAAAAAGATATATTCATTCATTCATTTGACAGACAGAGATCACAAATAGGCAGAGAGGCAGGCAGAGACAGAGGAGGAAGCAGGGTCCCTGCCGAGCAGAGAGCCCGATTCAGGGCTCGATCCCAGGACCCTGGGATCATCACCCGAGCTGAAGGCAGAGGCTTTAACCCAGTGAGCCACCCAGGCGCCCCTTAAAGAAATTTTTTAAATTAACAATATTCCCACTTGTGATTTCATAGAACATAGACAACATCTTCACTGTAATTTAACTTCCAATGTAGCTTCTTAGTATTCCACTATGGCTGAGAGAGACCGTTCTCATTTTCTATGAATGTGTTGACGATCCGGTCTTACATCACCACAGTTCGGGTGAAACTGTCCCCCAGGAGTTGATGCACTCTCAGCTTACAGATGAAATTATTTTTTCAGGCCCACAGGACTGACACCAAAACCATGGGAATGTTATGAATTTACTGACAGAAATGCCACTCTGTCCTGTCTCCTGGCAGCCAACCTTCTGTGGCAACTTAACATTACCTCTCTTCCGCTTTCCAACTTTGAAACAATACACTCACACACACACCAGTCACTGAAGAGCCGCTGGGTGTCGGGCTCTGCGGGAGGGAAGAGCCAGCATCAGCTTCCGGCCCTCACTGAGCTCACGACTACCAGAGGAAACAAAACGTATCGGGGGCCGCACCGTGTTGTGTTAAATGCTCACGGATTGTGCGAGAACATGAAAGAGGAATACAACAAACATGTACTCCAACCTGAAAGGATCAGCTCCGCTGAGTGTTAAGAGCATCTAAGAAAGAGGCAACATGAGCAGAGAGGGAAGAGAACGGGCTCTCTAGGTCAGAGGCGGGCATCTCTGGGCAGGGCCGGGGCGGTACAGAGCAGAAATAACGAAGCTCAGACACGAAGACCACAAAGGGCACTTTGCCCAATCCTGGAGAGTTCTGGGCATCTCGAAAGCTAGAGCTGTATGTAGGGAGTGTGACGGGCAGAGATTCAGGCGTCGGGAGGATCCCCCTGGTGGCAGCACACGGAGGACTAAATGAGGCGCAGAAGACTGGAGACAACTTGAAGGTGCGGGTTCCCCACTGGAACCGCTGCAGTCACCCGGCAAGCAGGGATGAGGGCCTGAACTAAGGAAGGAGCCGAGCTGGAACAGGGGTTCTCAGCTGGGCGGATTCTGCATTCCCGTCCTCACACCTGAGGAGGTCCTGCTGCGGTGGAACCCGCAGAAGCCAGGGATGCCGCTCACCACGGCCCTGGCCGCAGGCAACCCTCCCTCTCTCCACAGCCTCCACATGAAGAACCATCCAGCCCCGAATGCCAATGGTGCCAGAGCTGAGGAACCCTGGCACAGAAGCTTCAAGACCTACAGAGAAGTTTCAGGATACGGGCCTTGTGGAGGGACCGCGTGCAGACGGTGAGGAAGAGGAGGGGTAAAGGAGCGCGCACAGGCTTCTGCTTGGGGGCGTCTGCATCCACGATGGATCTGAAAAGACAAGGGGTTTTCCTGGATGTCGCAGTATCCCAGTTGGCACACAGTGGCTTGGACCAGAGATGCAGACTGGGAAATGAAAGAGCAGGAGGAGCTGCGCTGGGAGTCACGTGTCGTCAAGGACGAGGACGCGGCACGCAGAGTGAGAACGCTCTTCCGAACAGACACCACAGCACACCAGGAGTGAGGAAAATCCACTCTGAGATAATCATCATTTTGTAACCTCAGCTTACACATGTGAAGAATTTGATTTGGAAAGTACTGACCTCCCAAATAACTACTTTTAAGGTCTATGCGTCTCCATTATTCCAATGCTCCGAATTGTTTCGGAGCTCTGTGGTATGAAGAGTAGCAGCTCTCCGAACTGACCTTCCCCCAGACCCGAGTGTCCTGTTACCTCTGAAGCCTGAGACAGATCACAGTGCAGCCCAGCATGTCTGCTCTTATCAAACAGTGTGCTTATGAGGAGCAATTTTATTTGTTCCGGGCAGTTATAATTACTGTTATTATATAACTTAATAAAATATTAATAAACCAATTAAGATAAAAGCTCAAAGAGAAAAGTTTCTATGAAAGTTAACACTTTGGAAATATACAAAACCTTCCCCTAACTCAGTAACCAGGGTCAGAAATATTAATCACATAATTAACAAGAACTGTTAGACCCAGGGTGGGCCTGCAGAACTAGCTGGTTAGGCATTCAAGCGGTTGGTTCTGGGCTGTGAGGCTGTCTCTGCCATACATGTAAGCTCCGAGACCCCACTGCTAGTTACTTTCAGCAAGATCAGACTCTCCAACTATGAAACAGTAGAAATACCATTTCAACCTAGGGTTGTTCTGTGATTCAGTAAGGTGTTTGCCCACCCGCAGTGGTAATGCAGTTGACCTTGAACATCACAGGTTCAAACTACACAGGTCCACTTCAACACGTTTTATTTTGTTGATAAACACAGCTTACTACTGTCAATGTATTCTCTCCTTCTTATGATTTTCTTAATAACATTCTTTTCTCTACCTTACTTTAAGAATACACTATACAATATACACAGTATATAGATATGCACACAGTATATACAGTATATAATACTGTAGACAGTCTACCGTAGTAGACAAAACGCACGCTAATTGTTTATGTTATCAGTAGGCTTCTGGTCAACAGCAGGCTATGTGGCTATCTGTAGTTAAGTTTTTGGGGAGTCAAAAGTTATACGCAGATTTCTGATTGTGCCAGCATCCCTAAGGCCCGCGCTGTTCAAGGGTTATATGTATCATGTTTCAATCATTCCTTGGGAAATTTTTAGAGAAATTTAAGTAAGTGACTCCTTCGAAAGAGGACCTAAGGTTTGGGATAACTTCCATATTACAGTTGCATTTTATAGCCACTCTCATTTGTCCCATGACATTCTAAACAGAAGTTTGAAAAGACCTACTTCTATCTTTGGTCTTAGTCCTAATGGCAAAATCTGTGGTAAAACCCAGCCATTAAAAAAAGAGCACATGACAGAACCCAACAAGACTAGACCCATTCTGAAGGCCACAGACTCAAACCTGTTTGTTATCTCTTAGGGCTTGCACTGCTTTCAGAGGACTCCACACTAACTGGGATACAGTCTAAAGGAAATTATACAACATAACTATAACCTTTATGAATATTTGGTACCGTAAAGTTACCAAACAGAGAACAGCTATAAGTACTCAGGTTCACGTATAAGATTCTAATAAGCACTGAGGAACTTACCTAGATTTATCCAAATTCCACCTGGCTTGAGTATTTTCCATATTGTGTCAATATAATCAATGACATTGTGAGCTGTGTCTATGAAGAAACAGGTAGCAATACAGTCCCAGGTATCTATTCGAGGAAAACCACATTACTACATTCATTATGTTAGGTTGCCTTTTCTTTTAATTACTTCTACAAATGTTACCTCTTACAGATTATGAATATTTCATTCAACCAGAAGAATACAGAAGCTAAACTCGTCCAGTCAACACTGAAGTTAGGGTAACCCAACAATCATTTATGAGATGCTTTGCAGTTCATGAAAGTTTTTACTAATAATTTGATAATCAACTTGGAAACCATTTTGATAGCCTATATAACTAGGTATCTTTACCAAATGTACCTGTAAGAGTTTTGTTTGTAAATCTACTCAATGTCTAGCCTTCATTTCAAATGGGTTAAGATGAAGTAATTGTCATTTGAATTTTAAACTGATTTAAGCCACTGTTAACCACCGATTCTGGCAAGTTTCAGAAAGGCCATATGCACTTGTTGCCAAGTGAGAGACAAATGGCATAAAAATACTTAGACTATTCATTAGTCCTTCAGGTAATCACCAGTGGAACAGGGGAACGAGGCTGTCAGTGCCCTGTGGAGGCCGTGACTGGGCACAGGGACAGAGGCTGGATTCTACAAATCTCAGCGCCGTGAAGGCACGGATCCCACCGAGGATGCCCTGCATCATCTGCTCTCCCAAGCGCTGCTGCTGAACAAGGTCACCTGTACTCGCCTAAGTGATGTCTTCCATTATGTCACCTCTCTCTTGAGAACTCGCTCTCTGGCCTATCCCCAGCACCTAACATTTTCCATCTCTCTCTTTCTACCTTTGGAATACAGGTTTTCAATGTCAGAGTTCAGGGAAAAATAAACAAAAGCTTGACTATCTCATCACTGCCCTGCTCAAGTCCCTCCAATGGCTTCCCACTTCTCTGAGTACAATCAAAGTCAGCCTCACCAAATCCTCCCTGATCTGATCTCCCACTGCACCACTGCTCATTTCACCCCAGCCAAAGTGGCCTCTTGCTCTTCCTTCAGCAGAACAAGCACCCTCCCCATCCTAAATTCACCTGCCCTTGCCACTGCTTCTGTCTGCAACATTTCCCCTCAAATAGCTAATGGTTTGCCTCTTCACTTTTTTGAGGTACTCTGCTCGGCATTTGGTTTTGAAAGTCTGCTTAGGGAGCCTTCCCTTGTAACTCTATGAACAGCAGCCTCTCCCCAGTCACTCTGTACCCCCGTTACCCTGCCTTAGTACTCCTCCTTACATTACTAAATTTGTTATTGCCCCTCTCTCCCTATTAGAACAGATTCCCTGTGACCAGGAGCTTTGCTTTGTCCACTGCTCTCTTTCCCATGCCTAGAACATACCGGGGACTTAGGGGCTCCAATAAATATTTGTTGAATGAATGATCTTGCTGACCTCTAAGGATACTATTTCTCTTCTTCCTTTTACCGCCAATCCACTCCCCGACCACCCCTCTCTCCGTTACCATCTCCCTTTCTCTAATGCTAGCTGAAACTTCAACAGTTTTTCAAGGTGGAGTCCCAACTTGATAGCCTGATTGTAAAGGTCTTCCACAGTCTAGAACCAATCTACCTTTTCTAGCCATATCTCCCATTAAACTAGCAAACCAACCTCCCTTTCCCTCCCAGTCAGGCTGTCCCACCATCCCTAATTACCTTATTCATTTATATCTTCCTACCTCTGCCTTCCCTTTTTTTTTTTTACATTTTTATTTATTTGACAGAGAGAAGAAAGCAAGTGCGCACAAGCAAGGGGAACAGCAGAGGGAGAGGGAGAAGCAGGCTCTCAGCTGAGCAGGGGGCCCAATGCGGGACTTGATCCCAGGATCATGGAAGAGTGACCTGAGTCAAAGGCAGACACTTAACCGACTGAGCCCCCCAGGTACCCCTGCCTCCCTATTCTTGAAGTTACAGCCTTCACTCTACAAAAGTCTCCTTTCCCACACTAATCTTTTACCTTTACTGTATTCATTATTCATGAACTTTTTTCACGTGTTGTCTTATATTAATAGACAGCAGAGTCTATATTTCTTAATGGTGGGATCTTGTATTTTGTATTTCCCATCATTTCCTTATATAGGACTTTGAAAATATCCTAACTTGTCAATGAATGACCAATACTTTGACTTAGTATAAAATCAGCTCATTAAATTTAGACTAAAGTACAAAAACTTTGAAATGCTTGTTTTGGACTTACTGCATTCTGAGTAGATCTCCTGAAAATCTCCTGCTGTCATAGAAAAATTAGAACCAGGAGGAAGACTGTGGGGATCAACATCAGGGAAAAAGATAGGTCGAATCTGATCAGCTGACCTTCGGTTATTGCTAAACTGATGGATCCAGGGATAAAGCTTATATTTATTAACTTCAGAACATCTGCAAAATATGAGCACAAAATTCAGTGTTAACTAAATATTTTACCAAGAAAGTCTACTTTAAATACTAAAATATAACCTGATTGAAGATTTACTTATATAATTCATTAATACGTAAGGTGTTACCACTATACCCCAACCAATTATCTGAAAATGCACATACAGATGTAGATGAGTAACCAATAGTGAATTAAAAGACAGGAAAAAAAATTAAAGTAAATTCAGAGATATAAATGTGTTGTTCATTCACATTTTAAAAAATGTATTTCCAAACCTCAAACTCAAGTAAAAAACAGGCCAACCTTTTCTCAAACAAGTGGTATGGGTTTTGTTTGCTACCCAACTATTCTAATTCTCTCCATTTTATCTTCTCACCATTCCCTAACCCATACTGGACAACATATTATTTAAACAAGGCAGGTAGTTATTTTTTTTCAATGCCCCTCTTCTGGCTTTAAAAATAACAACTCTTTTCCACTGTTTTCTAAAAGAGGCCACAAAAATTCTAAGAGATGTTTCCAACTCAGTCGTATGAGCATACATGGCCGTCCTATCAGAATTTGATTATGGGAAAAAGTTACGACTGCTACACTGACCTTACTCCACTAAAGAAACAAAGGGGTGAAGAAGTTTAAGGAACAATGAGAAAATATTCCTTCTTGGATCATCCAAAGTCTTGAAATTCTGCACAGGGAGCATTTCAGTTTCGTGGGGTGTCCCATGATTTTCTAAAAAAGTCACTTACCCATCCCATTTCAACATTGTGTTAACTAAGAACTAATTAAAGAGTGGTAATTTGTATAAGCAACTTGATTTTAATTTAAGAAACACTTATGATACATATAATTAAACACTATGTATTTATCTTCAAATTCAGAATTGTTCAAAAATAGGTAAGTCAATCTGATTCTGAGAAATTACTATTTCCAGCAAAAAGTAAATTAAATACCTGTTGAGTACAAAGTTGGAAGAAAAGAGCATAAAAAAACTCCATTCATTTCCTTGACAAGCATAACCTAGCATAGCTACTTCCCAGGCCAGTCTTCCTAGTCCAGCACCAGGTACCAGAATATTTACTTTAGAAGGATCCCTGAAATGAAATAAGGCAATTATGTCCAACCCCTCAAAGGAAAAAAAAAAAAAAAAAAAAAAAGGCAAAATCCACATTAACAACTAGAAACTTAGATATTCAGTAAGAATAAGCTCACTCAAAATTGACTTTTTAAAACTAAGAAATACTTCTAAATATAAATGAAAAATAAGGGTAGGAGGAATTATCATATGTTTAAATATCGGATGAGAGTTTTATGCCCTAAATACTTTTCAGGGAAAAAAAGGAGTCGCCTTATATCTAAAGACTTATGAAGACACTCATACTCCTATCATAGCTGTCACTTGAAAAACTATCTCAAGAAGACAAATTATCCCAAAGGGAACCCAATACACACAAAGATTGAACAAAATTATTTTATCATAAGACAGTGAAACAAAACGTTATTTCTAAATTCTATAACTAATACAGTAGTTTGTGTGATTAAATAGATGAAATATACGTAATTCCTTATATGGGTTTGTTACAGCTTTAAGATCCTGTATATTTTAGCTGGCAAAAGAATTTGGAAAGAAGGTATTCTCAAGGGGAAAATGAGGAATTGCCTTCTAACCGAGCATAAATAATGGCAAGTACATCACACCAAACCACAGACTCACAACCCAACTGCTCTCACTTATTAGTATCATACTACAGAAACAAATTCTCTTCACTGTAAGATCCACCATCCATTTTCAAATAGCTAAAAAGCCTTAGCAAAGCAAGGGACTTTCTCAGAAATTCCAGCCAATCAATATAATCTTAAGGAAACCAAAATGGAATTCTTATAGAAACCAAAGGCAAATGTGCATAATCAGCTGTTATCATGTCAATTAAAAAAATTTTCACTATTATCTGCATTCTCCAAATTTAACTCATAAATCATAAACAATTTCCAAACCTTCCCATGTGTCATTCTCTTTTTAATCTTTATACTATATGGCCTTTAAGTTTGGTGTGCTCCAAACAGCAACAGGGCTTTTTACTAGTGGCCCATACAGTAAACCTCTGCCTTTTCCCACTCTGAAATGAAGAAACAACCAGAACTAAGGGGCTTTTGAAAATTGAGTCTATAAATACAGTAACATGGGAATTTGTCCCAGGTCATCCATCTGAATTACGTGTTATTTGAATAAAAACCTTCACAAATTCTATTTAATTTTATTGTTGAATTTTATATATACAGTAAGACATAACCCAAAATTTGTTAAAAGCGACTTCTGACAAATAGGCTCATTATGATTAGGAGACATTCTTTAACACTTGACATGAGGAAACTGAAGCCAACCAGCCATGTCAAATGCTTTCTTCTCATTTCAGATTACAACATTTGTGTGTGAACACTTTAATTTTTAATTGACTGACTTGATTAAATTTCTCATGAAGAGAATGGGTAACATCCTCCCATGTGGTTTAGACCTACCTGTACCATTTATCTAACAAGTATATAAAGCATATACATAATTTTAGTATTCAAATTTGAAAAGCGACTGGCCACACTCTATGCCACCCTTTGTATGACAGACCTGCCACTGTGGCACCCCACCCGGGGCCTCTCTCTTCTACTCCCTATCATACCCACCAAAACCCATACTCTCCCAGAATTACCTCTTTTCTTTTCTCAGTTCCCATTTGCCCAATCAAAACATGCATTATTTGCATGTGGCTGTGTTCCCCTTAGATTAAAAAAGGGTGGGGAGCAAAGTAATGTAACAAGAGCAAATGGATTTAGAAGTAAACTCATAGAGTACTTAAATCGTTACAAAATATAATCACTAACAATGTTTGGATGGCTGATGAGCTGAGTAGAACAAGAATTTTGAAATCATGCTAACCCTAAGGCAAAGTTGTGTTAATATTGGTACTGACAAATTTTTTTTGTCAACTTATGGAAAGTTAACTTGATGACTACCAATGTCAAATTCTCTGTACCTAAACAGGCCCAGAGAACTCTCTACCCCCACCTTGTGGAGGAAAGCGCTGTATACAACTGCTATTAAAACGCTGTCATCAAGCTGAAGAAGGCAGACTGTGTCAAAGCCCTTGATTAGTAAGAGTTAACAAAGATTATGATCTATCACCTACATTATGACAAAGGATTTCTGTGGACATACAAAAGGAGACACATTAAAACAAACGCCACAGTACTGGAAAAAAAAAAAAAGAAAAACTCAAGCAATGAATGAGCAAGATGGAGAGAATTTTTTCCTATGTTTTTGTTCTTGGACTTTTTTTCATTAAGTCATTTCTGAGGGATAGTAACAGCATAATGGAAAATCCCTCTAATTATAGTGTGTATAAAACTAAAGCATTTTAATAGACAGTTTCTGCTATGACTGCATGTTAACTCTAGGGCATTTCTACGAAGGTATTTCTGTGGAAAATAAGGGAAATAAAGTCTACAGATAGACCTTTAGTGTGATGGGACTGTACACTTGGCTAAACCTTAGAAAACCAGGAATAGAGGCATATAATATGGGGCCCAATGGTGCCACTGGAGATTCTTAGCAAAAATAAGTAAGCAAAAAGTTTACCTAGTTATTAAGGTCCAAATATGGAGAATGTGAACTACAAATGTGTCATCCCTGATAACAGCAGGAACAATTTCGACAGTTTATTCCAGATAAGCAAGAAGGAAGAGAGTACACCTAAATGGACAGAACGTGGAGCTCCTGTGTATCTAGAGAACGTGGGCCAGGCTGGTATCACCATTCTGTGCTCCAAAGATTACCAGCAGGAAATGTTCCTGAGAGAGGCTTCTTTTATTGGACATGGAATGGTTTTTTCACTGCAGATGGAGTTCCAACACACAAAATACTCTCTCTGGAGTCAACATGCTGACACTTAGCTGACCCCTGGCAGTTCGGCGTGTGCACACTTTCAAGCCCTCCGTGTGTTCAGTTCTATCCAAGTCCCAGCAGTTCTCTGTTCAATACAGGAAAAGCCACTCACCACTTATGGCTACTGAACGTGTAAAATGTGACCAGTCTAATGTGATATGAGGGCAAAACAAATGACAGATTTCAGTATAAAAAGGGAATGTAAAATACCTTCTTAATAATGTCACATACTGACTTTATACTGAAATAGTATTTCAGATACACTGGGTTATTAAAGTCTATTATTAATTTCACCTGTGACTATGAGAAAATTTAAAATAACATATATGGCTTGCATTATATTTCTGTCGACCAGTGCTGATCCACACAGGGAAATAGTAAAAACACAATTCTGAGCAAAAGTCAATTGTGAAATGATACCACAACCATTCTATTAATTTTTACAATATAAAAAACAATAAAATGTTTTGTTTCAAGGTATATAAACATGTAGTTATTATAGGAAGGTAAAGTTAAGAGTAACAACTTCGTATTAGTTGTTATCTCTGGAAAAAGAGAATATACTCAGCGTGTTTTACAGGTCACGGTTTAAATTGTATCTAATATTTCTTTTAAAATTTTATCAAAAAAACCTCACAAAAACAAAACCAAACACTGAATGAAGTATGGCAAAATTTCAAGGATTAACAGAGCTAGGTGTTTAAATATTTTTTATTCAAAGTAGTGAATGGGGGGGGGGTTGCCTGGGTGGCTCAGTCTGTTAAGTGTCTGCCTTTGGCTCAGATCTTGACCCTGGGGGTCTGGGATGGAGCCATACATCGGGCTCCCTGCTCAACCCGGAGCCTGCTTCTCCTTCTCCCTCTGCCTCTCCACCCTGCTCATGCTCTCTTTCAAATAAATAAATAAAAATTGTCCTTAAAAAGGTAGAAAATGGGTTAGAAATACCATTAGTGCCTAGTCCCTTCAAAAATATCCCAGTTTACCTCTTAATTAACTCTCAACAAAGCACCCCCATCATCAAACAACTTCTCACCAATTCCTTAATCTTTAGACTCCTATACACTCACAGAAACTCAGTTTAAATTATCACTTTATCTATGATGTTTTCCCCAAATATCCCAGGCAAAGCTTGGACTCACTTCTCAATAATTTCAGCACGTCATACCTCTGCTACAGTTTACATACCAAGTTTTTTCTATGACTCACAGGCCAGGGACCTATTTTTGTAAATAAGGCTTTATTGGAATATATTCATGCACATACCCAAATTGTCTATGGCTGTGTCCCACAACAACAGAGGGTTGTAACCAGAGACTACTCTGCCTGAACAGCCAAAATATTTGCTGGCTGGCCCTTTAAGAAAACGTTGGCTATCCCTGATTTAATGCATCTTGAACATCTTTCCTATTTGTACACAAAGCTTCCTTATCTGTTTTATGACTGAATCAATATTCCACTACATGACTATACCATACAGTCTCCAAATCCTCTAATTAAGGACATTTAGATTTTTTCCCAATCTTTTGTTATTATAATGTTAAAATCTTTGGCATAAATGATCTTCCAAATGCAGGAATCATAGAAAGCTTCCGCAAAATGAATTCCAAGAGTCAAAAGATACGCATTTAAATTTTGTCAGCTATTACCAAGTTGCCTTCCAAAAGATTTTACTGATTTATTCTTCCTTCAGCAAGCTATGTTTCCTCATACCTTAAGTTATATAACTTTTAAACTTTGCAATGTAAGAAGTGAAAAATGGCATCTTAGTGTGGTTTTCACATTTACATATTCTTATGAGATTGAGGATCTGGTATTTCTTTTTATGTGAACTGTCTAGTTACACTATTTTTCCACTGAGTTATTACTCTAGATTTATAAGCACTTGAAATCCTGAACTTTAAGAGCTTTAGATTTTGTTTGAAAGATCTGAAATAAATATTTGTTTTGGGCTAAGAGGGCTTTCAGGATGAGGGATAAATCTAAATTTTCAGTCTCTATTCTTGCATTACTTGGCAGTCTACATTTCCTCCATTTTCTCTATTTAAATGGTCTCTTTTAGCTAAAAGAATTCTTTCATAAATTACGATTTATATTCTTTAATGTAGGTAGACAAAAAATGCTTCTTTAAAGCTTACCATATTGCTTCTTTAAAGCATACCA